GGGGATTGGACTAGATCAGGGCTTTTCAACCTTTTCACCCATTTTACCATCTGAGTTCCACCAGTCGCCTAGCAAGGTGTCAACAACTTGATGACCAAAAAAAAAAAAAAAAGGAAAAAAGGGATGAAGTACAGGTAGTCCTCAACTTACAACAGTTCGCTTAGTGACTGTTTGAAGTTACAATGGCACTGAAAAAAGGCCCCCCCAAGCCACAGCCGAGCAAGACACCTGCCTGCCCACCCGGCGGCGCTCTTCCTCCTGTCCGAGGTTTCCATTGTTGTGATAATTTCTGTTGAGGATTGGCAGCGGGGGTGGGGTGGGGGGTGTTTGGTTTTTATTCCCCCCCCCCCGTCTGCTGGGTTTGGTCACTTCAGGTTTTGGTCACTTCACATGACCCTGGGACACTGTGACCGTCGTAAATATGAATCAGTTGCCAAACATTGAATGTAAATCACAAGACCCTGGAGAGGCTGCAACATTCCAGCTGATCGGTGCTTCTTCTGGGCTCAATAGAAGTGTCAGGATCAGCGCCGAGCTTCAGCTGGATCCTGGTGCTGATCCTGGCGCTTCCGCTGAGCCCTGACAGCCCTGCAGCTCCAGCCGTCTCTCGCTCAGGCTTGTGCGGTGCTGCCACCGGTTCAGCTCATTCCCCTCCCTCACTACCACTTTTCTAGAATGGTCACGTACCACCTGCCAGGTGCCAATGTACCACAGGTGGTACCCATCCCACTGGTTGAAAAGCCCTGGACTAGATGACCTCCAAGGTCCCTTCCAACATCATCATCATCATCATCATCATCACCATCACCCCCATCACCACCACCATCATCAATTTGGGAAACACTTGGCAAGTGGAGCAGATACGTCCCAGCAAAAGTCACTGAGCTGTTTTGTTTCTCTATCCATTTCTTTGCCCTTCTCTTAAAAAACAATTAAAAAAAAACACTAATCAAGAAAACATCCAAAACAAAAAGAGCCTAAGAACAAAAACAATTAAAGCTACCAAAAGAAAAAGGAAGAACCCCGTCTAATTTGGGAGAATTATCTCAACAATTTGCAACCTCGAGGGAAAAAACAATAACAATTAAACCTCTCTTTCAGCGTTACTAAACCCAAGGATATTTTTATAAACTGTTGACAGAGCTAAAAATGGAGATTAAATGTTAAAAGAATTGCAATCTTTAAAAAAAAAAAAAGAATTATTCAGGCTTCCGAGCTGCTGGGTTAACATTTTCAGCCCGTCATTTCCGAGTTTTAAGTAA